TGGGTTATGCTGTTGGTGTTGCCCTGTTGGGCTTGGACATTGACTCACGATTCTTCTGTATCATTCTCAATTGGATGGTTACTCGGTTCCATTGTGCTATCTACTCTGGCTTTGACTACTTGGACTTCAGTGTGATTTTGCATTCTGGATTTCTATGCTTCGTCCATATTCATGTTCCTTGCAGATACGATAGTGTGCCCGTTAATCCTGATCCAAAATACCATCAAACACATAGGATAAAAAAAATTCAGTGCTATCGATCAGACAGTGACACAAGGACTCACTGCAGACATTGGAGATTGAACAAATAAGCTAGAGACAAAAAACACGTAAGAGTTTGAAAATCGAGGACAGCATGCATCAAGTGCAACCAGACTCGTCTTCTTTCTTACTTAGCATGCATGAAACAGATGGCAATCACACTGGCGACAAGCGCCCACACAAAGCTCAGAGAAATGGTGGTCGAGAACACAGTTCAGATTCAACTTGCTTCAAATGGTTATGGCGCCTGTGCACCCTCACAACACCCTTCCACACTGTATCCTCGGCAACTGTTCACACGCACGCTACTCTGGATGTCCCACACACTGTAGCCTATCTCTAACCTAGCGCACACAACTCACTGCACACTCATACACAAACACACTGTGGCCTATCTCTAACCTAGCGCAGCTATGGCTGCTTGCTACCTCTACCGCTAACTAGCGGCTATGGCCGCTTCGTCTCTCTTTCAACCCACTTCTTCCTTAGGCACCAGCAGACCTCCTTTCACAAGTTGCTCAGGCAGCACTTCAGCACGGCTCACAGTCTGAATGAAAGAATAGCTGGACGCTGCCTCTTGATGTAAACTTCAGTTGGTCACTGGTCTGCTCCTTTCCATCGGGCCTAGGATACACACAGTCCCACATGGTACTTGCTGACTGGACAAGGTGCGACTGGGACTGGGTACCGCTGACTGGACCTGGTAAGTCTGCCCACTTGCCCACTTGCCTATGGACTGCTTCTGAGACTCTCGAAGGGCCAGTCCTAGAAAACTCTAGACCTTCCTACTTGCCCTTTAGGTAATGTAGCGGCTACGACTCAGGTTGACCCTTCAGACCTACAGCAGCTACGACCAGATATAAGCTATGACTTCTATCCTACAGGTAAGCAGCTCGAACATACTCAACCTTTGTATGTACAACAGCCTTAGACAGACAAACTTTTAGGGGCAGGTCATGGGTTCAAAGTTCATTTTACTAATTAATTAATTTAAAAATGATAAAAATAATATTGCTCGGCCCAGCAAGTGGCGGTGAGCTCAGCCTTCACTTAGGGCTGCTCCCGCTTGCTGGTTTTCCCATGATAGGGTGATCAGTCATGATCCCAATCACAAGGTTCACTAAATTGTGAGGACCTGCCAAATAGGACTGAGACACAGCTGATTTTGGAGTTTAGCCAATGGATATGGCTTGCTGAGTTTCCCACTTGTTGCCGAGTTTCTAAGTCGGTGTATGTGTGCATGCTTGCTGGTCTGAATGCCTGTCTGATTGCTTGTCGATTTGAGTGTGTGTGTGCCCCACAAGGGTACCCTTTCGACAGGAGGCCCAAAGGGCCGGTACTTACCTGTGGCCGTGACATTGAGCGTGCAGCGGGGAAAACGCTCAAGTGGCAGGGAAATAGGCCCGTGACACTTGAGAGCAGCGAAAAAACACTGAAGTAGCAGGTAGGCCGGTACCACACCAAGTAGAGGTGGATGAGCCAGGTACTTGAGGCCGAGCAGAAGAAGACAAGAGTTGGCATTTGTAGAGCCCCAGTAGTTGTAGGTAGGTCTAGGCGGGTACCAGTCCAACCAGTCTGAGTCTAGGGCCTGTACGGGCAATATCAGCAATGAGGTTTCCCTCCCGCAGGGAGAAGGTACCGGTTGCTTGGAGGCCGAGTGGCGATGAAGTCACTCGCCAAGAGGCAACCAGGCCGCTATATCTCCAAGAGGAGCAAAAGGCTCCTCCTCATTCTTCGGAGTGCAAGTTTGGCGGCACACTGCTTGGAGCGCTGGCTCGAGCAGCACTGCTAGGGAGGAAGGAGCCCAGCTCCCACTGCAGCTAAGGTGGAGAAGCACGGGCTGGAGGAGGAGGAAGACAAGGACTAAGAAGGGGAGCGCCAGAGGTACTTACCTGGCTATGGTGGATGCCGAAACAGTTTTCACCTTTAAGGTAGCAGATGCAGTTCCCAGGGCTTGATCCCTAGACCTCGCCCTCACCCGTGTACAGAGTATTAGTTGACCTGTGTGAGCTTGAACCCTCGATCTGTGTCTTGAAAGTCGCTTGTTTGTTTAGGCCGGTGGGAGTAAACGATTTTTGCCTTTACGGTAGCAGACGCAGTTCCCAGGGCTCGATCCCTAGACCTCACCCTCACCCATGTAGAGTATTAGTTGACCCGTGTGAGCTTGAACCCGCGACCTGTGTCTTGAAAGTCGCCTGTTTGTTTGCTGTAGGTAGTGTGGTCGTCGGGTCTTGAACCGTAGGTCTGTAGATTAGAGGTCTTCGCAGTGGCAGGAGTCGTAGCTGCTACAGAGTTGAAAGGTCAAGTTGTAGCTGCTACAGTACCAAAGGGTCAAGTCCACAGTCTTCCGGAAGATCCGGAACTGGCACTGCGTGAGTCTGGGATGCAGTCCGTAGGCAAGTGGGCAAGCGGGCAGACTAACCCAGCCCAGTCAGTGGTACCCATTCCCGGTCGCACATTGTCAAGTCAGCAAGTACCATGTGCGACTGTGCGCACCCCGGGCCCAGGGTCCAAGGGAAGACCTTTGACAATCCGAAGTATAAATAAAGAGACGGCATCAAGTCATTCATTCTGCCTGTGAGCCGTGCAGAAGCGCTGTCGGAGCGTCTTGTGTACGAAGGTCTGCAGGTGCCCAAAGAAGAAGTGGGCTAATCGGAGGAAGACGCGGCCATAGCCGCTTGGGTTAGTAAGAGGAGGAAGACGGCAGCCATAGCTGCCTGTAGATTAGTAGGAGAGTTAGTCAGGGTGTATGTGTGTACGTGTGAAGTGTGTAAGAGTGCGGGACATCCAGGGAGATCCAGGGTGTGTGTACGAACAAGTTGTTGGGAGTACAGCGTTCAGCCATAGCCGAACCAGACAAGTTTGAATCTGAACTGTATTCGTGGCTTCGTTATTTTGAGCTTTGTGTGGGCACAAGTCGCCAGCTTGATCGTCATTTAATTGTACACATGCTGAGTGTAGAAGAAGACAAGTCCAATTGCATTGGTATCGGAGCTGGTTCTCGCTGTCCCGGCATCGTCATGCACGTCATCATCGTCGAGAGAGTGCCACATCGGCGCAAAGAATGAGGGCGCCACGTCAGCACTCGTACAAGGGAGGCGCCACGTCATCATTAGCGGTGCCGAGCCACCGTGAGGAGAAACGGGGGAGTTTCCCTCCCAGATCGCGCGCTGTCGCGTGCAAGATCGCGCCACGTCTCCCGCTGCCTACCGCGCACCAGCCTCCCGCTACTTGCCATGCGCCGGTTTCCCACGTCGCTGCCCGTTGCTTGCTGTGCACCCGCCACTGCACCGCGCACCAGTTTACTGCCGCATGCCGCTATTCCGCCACTTGCCACTTTGCGCCGTCCCAATTTCGTGCGCCTGACATTGTCACTCGCTACCCGCTATTGCTGCGCGCCCCGTCGCTTGATCGCGCGCCAGCCTCCCGCGCTTGCCCCGCTGTTTGCAGCGCGTTGCTGTTCGCGGTATTGCCCGTTGCGCTAGCTGGCTGTGGCCCGTTGTTGTTGCGCGCTGCTGTTGCTGCGCGCTATGTGCGACCTTGCGCTGGTTTTCATTTGCGCGCCGATCGTGAGCTCGATTGCCCGATCGCGAGTTGAAGATTACAGCTGCTACGAGCGCTGACGGGAGAGATTACCACTGGAAGAGAGGAGGGTTCAGCGCTGGGGAGAAGTTGAGCCACCGCGAAGAGAGCAGCCATATTCGTTGTATCTGCATAGAAGAAGGAAGAGAGGAACGACGACGATGAGAGAGAGAGAGAGAGAGAGAGAGAGAGAGAGAGAGAGAGAGAGAGAGAGAGAGAGAGAGAGAGAGATACAAGATTGGTTTGGCAGCCTCGAAAAAGAAGGTGGCGGACATAGCCCCCAAGCTCTTAACTTTGACGAAGAAGAAGACAGAGTCACGAAGGAGGAAGGAGGAGGGAGGAGAGACGAAGGAAGAAGGAAGCCATAGCCAAGGTGGGCAAAGAAGAAGAAAGAAGGGGGAAGGAGAGAGAGAGAGGCTGGCGAAGAAGAAACGTCGGCAGCCATAGCCGGTGGTCAGAGAGTTGACCGGTGGGGTCAACCAAGACGTTGACCAAGTTTGACCAACCGTTGACCAAGATTTTGACCAAGCTGGAGTCGATATAATCTCGCCAAGCCTTCAGCCTACCCCCTCGCCCTATGGATGTGCACATACCCCTTGGTACTTGCTAAGTCAGTCTGTCTCTCCTTTCTGCATTGAGTCACTTTTGTCCAGGTTGATAGGACTTTGTGCATGTGGTCATAGAGTTGTGGTGACCAAACCTACACGGGCTGAGTAGGGCTTAAGTCCATGTCTGCCGACTGACACGTCCCAAAGGCCTCACCTTCCCAAGCACCGGTACAGACCGGCGGGCTGCTCAAGGTGGCATGGTAGGCCCAAAATCCGAGTTGTGAGCTGCACAACCGGCTGTCTAAATTTTGAGAGGATTCGATGATGACGTCGTCCTAACTGCGACGTTAAGGAATTCTTGAGGAGTTATGGGGGATCTCCTTAAATGCCTCCTGATCAGCAACAGAGTTCTGTAGTGACAGCCTAGAAGTAGGTCCAGGCTAGAGACCCTAGTTGACACGATCTTATCCAGAGAGAAAGCCAGGTGAGATTGGTCACCCGTGCATGGTGCACTGTGGAAAATTTCGGTGACAGTGGTGGTGAAAGCTTCCAAAGGCTGTGGTAACCTGGTTGGATCAAAGGAGAGGATTTTGTGCTCCATAAAGAGTCAGTCAGTCAGTCAGTCAATCAGTGGGTGGAAGTCTAAGTGGTGAGGAGTGGAACTGTCATTTGGTTGTGCACCTTTCACCATGGTGACCACGCGAGCAGGAACAAGAGATGGAGAAATGGAAAATAGAGCAGGAGGAGAAAGTGGCAGCGATAGACGTAGAAGCAGAAGCAGAGAAAGAAGAAGAAGAAGTGGTAGAGGTTCCCCAGCAAAGGAATGTAAAGAGGGAAGAGAGGGGAATCCAGCAGAGCGGGAGAAGTAGACGCGAAAGTGGAGAAGATGGGTGGCCAACCTAGCATTGGGGGAGGAAAAAGAAGCATTGTTGCTTGTCCCTCAGGCAGAGAGGGAGGAGTTTGCAAAAGAGTCAGAAGCGGAGGAGAACCCCTTATGGCGACAAACCATAGAGGAGGAGAAAAAGTTGGAGTGGAAAGAACGCTTGACAAGGGAAAGGAGGAGATTGGATGCGGCGGAGACGATTGAGAGAGCGAGTTACAGACCGCAGTAGAGCAACGGATGCAATTGGCAGCACAAGTAGACCTCCTAAGGAAAATAGGGATTCTTTCTCAGAACATGGTGGTTCCAAAGGCCCAACAAGAGCAGTCACGCTACCTGAAAGGCCATGATATTGCCCTGCAGTCCATACGCACAGGTTTTAAACATTTTGCAAGGGATATGATGATGTGCGTGGGCATTCAGTTGCACGCTGCTATGGAGGGCTTTGAAAAGTTTTGCGTAGGCGCCAAAGAAGGGGCCAAGTTAGCGGCCTCCAAAAAAGAGGAGGCTCGACCAGTCGCGAGCGTACAAAGGCCGAATTCCCTGACCCCTATGGAGGGAAGAGGGGAGAGGATTTTGATAATTGGGAAGCCAAGATCAAATCCTATATACACCTCCCACTTATTAAACCTGAGAACCAAGTTCTTGTGGCATTCCAGGCGCTCAAGGATGAAACGCCCAGCTTTGCTAGGTCGCTTGCTCGTGCCGCCAACTGTGATGATATGGTCACATACTCCTCCAATACTCACTCGAACAAATTTCTGACAGCCCTCTGGGAACGGTTTGCAGATGTCACTGTCGTCTTAACCCGTAAACAAGGTACGCACCTTGTATTCAAGTTACCTCCGAAAAACGAGTTCTAAGAAATCGTTGTTAAATTTTTGAATAGAAGGTACCTTCGAATACAAGGTCCGTACCTTGTATTCGAGGTGTGCCTTGTAACTGTCACGTAACACTCTCTCTGTCTCTCTCTCTCTCTCTCTCTCTCTCTCTCTCTCTCTCTCTCTCTCTCTCTCTCTCTCTCTCTCTCTCTCTCTCTGTTCTTCTGCTTTCTCTCTCCTCTCTCTCTCTCTCTCTCTCTCTCTCTCTCTCTCTCTCTCTCTCTCTCTCTCTCTCTCTCTCTCTCTCTCTCTCTCT